CAGATTAACGTAGTTGTTACGTGGCCATAGCACGCACATAGTGCGTGGTGCTTGTCTGAATCTAGCCATTATGAGGTGTTGTATGTGGAGTGGGGCTCAATTGGTTGGGTGGGTCCGACTGAATCCGAGCGCGGGCCCAAAGTGAATGCTGAATTTCAAACTATTTGCCGGACCAATGCGCTCGACACCGCGCAGAGGAGTCGAGAGAGAGAAGGAAGAGTGGGAATTAAAAGTGCATATCTCGCTCGTTCCTTCACAAAATCGAGTAAGGTAAGAGGCGAGGTGGGGGGTTTAATGCATTGCGAGGCAGTTGAACGTGACATATTTCGATTTGGTGTAGCGGTTCGACTGAGATTGCCAGAAAGAGTTGCGCCCGAGAGAAAAAACTTCAGTCAGTATAAATGTGCAATGGTAAGATTTATTTTTATTTTTACATCTTTATCGGTGACTTCGGTTGAGCCTCCTCGTGCCCACCATCATGGTAAGTGTTAACATGGTGATAACCACCGCTGTCGTGAAGTCCATCGTCATGATTTTGTTTCCATGATCCCAATCTTTGTTATGATGACTCGTCGTTATTCCGTTGAACTTGAACGATTGATCCCGTAGCTTGATCATCGGGCTTGCTATCTGCACATGGCTCATAGTGGTTGTCTCGTTGGCATGGCTCGTCACTCTGATTAAAATGTATCTAGTCGTGACTTGTCGGGAGGTACGCTTTTGTTCTCATGTGTTCTATGCTAGGAGAAGTAGTACGTTAGCTAAAAAGTGAGGGTTGATGTGTGTGATTCTAGTCGATGTCTCTTTCCTTGTTTTAGCGAAAAATACATTCCGATTTTGTTTATTGTATCGATGGAAGTAGCCTCCCGTAAGCTCTTTTTGTGCATGGCTGGAAGGCAGCATATATTTCTATACTTTAGCAGATGATTCATATCGATTTTGCTAATTTTGTCGATGGAAATGACGTGAGGCCAGCCGCAGGCTTGAGAGAGAGAGAGAGAGAGAGAGAGAGAGAGAGAGAGAG